ACCTAACCCTTAACCTAACCCTTAACCTAATCCTAACCCTTAACCAATATGTTGTCTTTGTCTCGTTTCCCCCCTTTCCCTTGTCTTTTGTGAGCCGCCCGGAGTCCTCCGGGAGTGAGCGGCATACAAGACAAATAAATAAATAAATAAATAAATAAATAAATAAATAAATAAATAAATAAATAAAATAAAAATGTCACACAGCCTCTACATGAATCAAGGCAGAGCAACCACATCTGGAATATTGGGAGCAGTTGTGGTCCAAAGGCCTCCGAAAGGAGAGGAGGGAGCTGGGGAAGGTCCAGAGGAGGCGACTCAGGCGATGGGAGGGGGGAAGCAGCCTCCCTTGGAGGGAAGGTTGGGACCTTGGGGGCTCTTTAGCCTGGAAAGGAGGCTCCCCTCCCCTCCGACCACTCTCCTTCCTCCTTCCTCCCCCAGGGGGAGCCCTCTGGGCCCAGCTCTGATCCCCTGGGAGGCCAGCAGAGGGCCTGGAGGGATCTTTGGGGATCCTGGGGGATCAGGGGCAGGACTGCCAGAGCTCTGGGGTCCAAAGGTGGCAGAAGAAGGGGGGCTATGCTGAAGAAAGAGCCTCCCCCCATCCAGGGCAGCCCCTCCAAGAGGGCAGGGCAGGAGTTCAGCCTGAGGGACCAAGGAGGGGAAGCCAGGAAGGCTCTGAGGGACTCAGGAAGGGCCCCAAATGGAGGCTTCTTCCTCTCCTGTCTTTCCCCCTCAAGACCATTGGGAGGAGCCTGGACCTCTGATCCCCCCCACAAGAGCCCCCCACCGCATTTGGGCCTCCCGGCCTCTCCTTCCAACTGGAGGATGAGGAGAAGCTCTTGGAGTTTGGGCCCCCTTCATTGCCCCCAAAAATGGGGAGAAGGCAAGGGATCTAGTCTCCCCAGGAGGATCTGCACCAGATCCCTGATTTCTTTGGGGTCGAAACAGAGAGAAGGCGGAGGATCTGCTTCCCCCAGGATCTCCTTAGGATCCACCTGCCCTTCTTTCAGGGAGGGGAGAGGCCTGTGATTCCCTTCCTCCCCCACAGTAGGAGATCCACCCAGGACCCTCCAACTGTCATGGGGGGAGGGGAGATTTCGGTCTCTCTTTACCTCAGTTTATATCAACATCCGGAAAAAGAGAAGGAGAAATTTAAACACGTTTCCATTAACTGCAATTGGCAGAAATCGTCAGCAATGGAGACAAGGACAATCTTATATTGATTAAAGAAAAGAAGAAACATATATAAAAAGGGGCTTTTTAAAAGGTGTGGAAGGAGCCTTTCCCTTTGAAGGGACCCCCCTTTCTCCCCCCTCTGGTTCCTGGGGAGGGGATTATGGGGCCAGAGGAGCCACCAGACCCATCACTCACCTTCGCTCTGATTGTAGCGAATCCTCAGAATCTCCAGGCCTTCTCTGAACGTCTCCTCAGAGCCACGTTGATTCTGTGTCTCTCTGTCCCAGTACTGGGGATCCTCCTTCCCCACCTTCTCCATCCAGGAGACTCGAGGCTGCATCTTCCGGCTGTGGCTGTCATAGTGAACGAAGACCTGATCATCCACATACCCCACAGCGACAAAGTGGGGCTGCTGCCCCTGACTGGGGTCCGAGATGGAGGTGTAGAAATACTTCATGGAGTGGGAGGAGGCACCTGGAAGGGAGCCAGAAGAGAAGAGTTAGGGGGCTTCAGTCAAGGACCCGGATCCCATGGAGGCTCCCATCTGAGGCTCTGCGGAGGAAGAAGGAAGAGGAGGAAGAAGAAGAGAGCTGGGGGAAGAGGAGGAGGAAGGGGGGAAAGGAAGGGGGAGATGTGTGGGAATCTACCCCATAAT